TGGAGCATTCCACGCCATCTGTAATAGCAATAGTCACTCAGATTTAATTTGAAGTAAAAAGCATCATTATCAGCAATTGTAAATGCAGTACTTTACATGTGAATGTTAACAAAAACCTAAAAGTAGACATATCCGCATTTTCAGATAGGATTACTATGTACGTAGTACAAAATAGAACCAAGTAATGTATATAACACGAAATAAAATCAAAGACTGTAGATATATTACTCGTAGTGAAAATATTCGTGGCAACATAGTTCAACGAACGTGCTAGAAGCGCCAATAAACGGATCTCAAGTAACAATAAAATGCGGCTTGCACGCTCATTCTCAATTATATACATATAATTTGATATTAAAAAAAGATATATTCGTGAATAATAATATCAAAATTTGTAAAGATAGATATTAGATATTATAATTTGAAAAAACTAAAACTCTTACAAAACAGTATTTATATTTTTCCATGTATATTTAAATTAAGATAAATTTTAAATATATAGCAATGTTTAACATAAAAAATATTCTTATATCACATAAAATTAGAAACATTGTTTGACAAATAAAAATTAAAAATTTATCTCAAAGTGCTTTAAATAATATTAAAAATAATAAATTAAATAATTTGCAAAATCGATAGATCTTTAAAAGTACTTAAAATCAATCAGATTCTTCATTTTTAATCAATCTTTTTAAAATCAATAGATGTTAAAATTTTTATTGTATAGTTTTATTGTTATTTAAAAAATAGCATTAAATACGTTCTTCGTAGTTTTTTAAAATTATAGATATTGAATTTCATTCAACCTCTAAAAATTTAAATCAAATAAAATATAAACAAAAATTTTTTTAATTATGAAATCACACAATAACTTAAAATATCAAATGATTGTTTGGTAAAGTCTTTCGCTAATACTTTGAATCCTTATCATTTCACAATGTGTTTGATATAGAAGCCACGTCATTGTTAAACAATCTGATATTGCGAGCGCAAATAAAAATCCAGCAAAAAGAAGTTAAACAGGATGTGAACTACCAATGACGTAATATATATGTGGGTCAAATATTTTAGCAACAATTATCACATGCAGTAACGATCTTACGCTTGATCTCTTAAGTGGTTGTTAATAGTGTTAAGTGAAACAACCTAGGCATCAATAATGAGTTGGATCATTAGCAACAATTAGTTCATTGTTTCACGATCAAGTTAATCAATAAATTAAAAATAAGATATATTTCAGTAGTAGAGTTAGAAGCAGTTAGAGAAGAGATCTAACAACGAATAATACAAAATGATTTAGAATCATTTTCTTATTTCTTCGGCACGATTTTTCAAAGCTTCATATATTTAAAAAATTTTAAATGTTTTAAAAATATTTCACAATAATGATCAATTATCGATTTTTTTTTTAGAATTTTGTTTGCAATCTGCTTCAAAATATTAAGAACAACTTATCGATAATTTCCGTAAATTTTAAGAAAGAGATTTTTATTATCATTAAACAAAACAATGCAAATTGCAAAACATGCGCGTTCTCTAAAATAAGTGAACACAGACCTTGAGTTATAACTATTTAATTTAGGATCTTTAATCAAGATCATGTTCATATTTTCATTGAACATTACCACGCAGAGTTCTGTTGCTCGTCAGTTCACTTTGTTCTCGTTCGCAGCCAGTTTATAGTCGATCCGCGCGCATTAATAAACGTAGAAGATTTGTGTACCAAGCTCAAGTGGTTGCATACATGTTGTGCGCGCTTTTATGTAACGATGTAACGAGCACAAAGATAAGAGCCTTGCTTGGTCATGGAAGTAAACAAAAATAAAAAAGTTTTCAAATAGTCCTATTCTTACTCCGTAAATATAGGATTACTCAAATACATATGTATAATTATACCTATTTGTTTATTTAAATATATCTATCCTTTTAATGAAAGTCTTCTATTTAAACAATAATAAGCAAATTGACCGATATGAATATAGTTTTCTGCTTAATTTTCTGTTCTCTCTACTAGAAAGATCATGATGGATAAAAATTATTGTTCTTCATTTTATAATACTTTCTTTACTTTTGTAATGCTCAAAATATGATTCCATTGAATATTAATGTTCGATCGTATCAGATAACCGAATATTCGTACATCTGAACAATTACAAAAGTTATAGACAAACATAAATTTCAATTTAATGTCGCGTGCATGTGTTATCATTCAAATATTCCTCCTAATTAAATTTCGCTCATATCAAAAACATTTAGTTATAATTAGTACAAAATTATAGCATCGTTTTTTTTCAAATTCAAAGATTTTTCATATTTTTTTATATTTTTTTTAATTTTTTATCAAATTTTTAGATATATCTTTATACAACTTTAAAAAAATATAATGATTTTTCCAGTCAATTTATTCACGCATCCTTAAAGACACGCAACACATGCGTAAATAATAACTCTGAGAAAAGAACATATGAAGCTAATAGTACGGCTCGTCGCGTATCGGTACGCATGGAGAGCTCAAACATTCGTGCGTGACAAAATAGGTTACGCCTTGACCTTATGAATATCAGATTTACTATAAGCTCACATACCTTATTAAGATATTATACCAATCAAAAAGCACATATTTGTAAAAAGTACTTATCACCATGATCTATAAACGAGTGGGATACCTATGCTACGATTTATTATTCGTATCCAAGCACAATTCACGTTTAAAAAATATTTAGCTGTAATGTTTAAATATATAAAACGTTAAATCGATATTAATAAATATATATCTACGTTCAAAATCGCCGAAATATTTGGTACAAAGATGGTATTTTTTAATGTATTTTAAGTGATATTTTTAGTTACATATATATATATATATATAAACATTTCATAAGCGTTACTAATGTTTTATGAACATTTTCATAACATTTATTAAATAGTTGTAAAAAGATATAAAATTTTTGACGTTTATTTATTTTTCAGTTTATACTTTATTACACGATTTCTAACGTTTATTAAATGTATTTTAAACGTAACTATTGTTGCTTGAGCATCTATAAAGTTTGTACTTCTTGGATTATTAATCGTGGATTATTAATTGATAATTATGCCTATTTCGATTAAAGAAAAATGTACTTCAAAATTTTCGCAATTAAACACTTCACGCACTTGGGTACAAAACACATTCGTCGTTTTATCTCTATAAAGTGTTTTTCTTATATCGCATCATCGTATATCTCGTCATACGTATACACGCATAATCATATTGGCATATATAATTATAATATATGTTTGTAGAAATGACTTTAAGTGTCGTCAATGTAAAAACTCGTTTTGTACTGAGGAAATATACGAACGTTATGCGTTTAATTGCAAACAGTTTGCGTCTAATTGATTTCAAGGAAGTTCGGTAGGTATATATATATATACATACATGATACGCTTAAATTGACTACACCGCTATGGAAGACTTAACCGCAGATAGCGATTACACCAATAATTACGCGATAAAAATCATTGTAGACACAATACACTTATCATTTATCATAAACGTGTTAAGATTCTGTTCATTGCGTTCAAGTTTGTACTTTTATATTTCTTTAAAATATATTTTAATCAAGCATCTTCTCAACATATCGTATTATTTATTTATTTTATCTGTTTAAATGATATAATTTGTCAATAATAGATCAAAGAGACTATAATTGAAATATTTATATTATATTTTTTATATCTTTAAAATTTTTATATCTTAAGTTAAAAAAATTCAAAATTCGCAAAATTCTAAAATAAAATCCTAACTAACAATATTTATCTTAAACCTAGTATGAATACTATGAGTTTTATTAAATGAAAATTTTATTCTTGTATCGTACTGGGCTTTTCTATTTTACATACTAAACACAAAATAAAAAGACGTCTTATTATATCGTTTTTCCAGCTTGCAATTATAATTTGTAATGAATAAAACTTTTAATCTTTTAAACGAATATAAAACCAGTTAGACCGAGTTTTATGAGGAAAAAGTCTGGCTGCTAATTCTCGGATAAAAGACATTTATCTGCTTTAGAAGTAATTGTTCCTATCTCAAATCTCATTTGTCCTAGCGTGGAAGGTTATTCCGAATTATGCGTGTCATAACGATCACACGCTGAAGGGTACGAATGTGACAGGTCGACAACCCTCGTATTTATTCCCATTATCAGGAATTATATTCGACGTGACATTAAATGAACAATGACAAAACAATTGCGCAACAATTTAACGTGAGGAGCAAAATCTTTTTTTTTGTAAGCGTGCATTTTACACGGAAGAATTGACCGTCTGTATTTCTCCCTGGAACAAGACGGTGGAAAGTGTCGTCTCCCTCCACACTGGCGAAACCCGACCTTCTGATACTCTGCTAACGAGTCGGATGTGTTTAGGGCCAATTTGTCTATTATCTCGTTGTCAGTTTTATTTATTACACTTCTAACGACTCTCACAATGCGGCACATATGTGCGACTTCCATCAGTCTGAGATTCCTCGGTGCAAGTTAATTAACTTTGATTTCTCTAGTCGTTCCAAAGTCGTCGTTCCAATGTACACGTACTTTGCGTGATTGACTCTTGAGGATCAACGCACTTTTTGTCGATGCGATTTATTTGATCGATAAAAATTTAGCTCAAGTATATAATATTATCTATAAGTGTAGTGCCTGTAGTTTCTAAATATCAACAAACTACAATACTATTGCTCTATCTTTTTCCTCTTATAATTTTCTTCGTTATAAAAATCCCCTCGCAAAACTGTTATTATAATGATATAGAAAATGTGACTTCCCCTCCATACAATCCTTTAACGAAATTTTTCTACAAGTTTGGAGTAAAACTTCAACCGAAAGAAGCACGAATTGAACGAGTTTGCGGTACCCTCGATTGATACGCAACTGGATATGTGGGTGGAGGAAAAGCCTGGTAGCATGACCGGAGTACGGGCAGAGTGAAGCTAATGTGCCAGTCGTGAGCGCGATTCCGTCGCGCCGCGTACTTAAGGAGCCGTATGCGGCGAAGAAGCAGCAGAACGGAAGGCTGAAAAAAGCGCTAAGAGAGAGAGAGGGAACCCTCAAAAAAGAAGAAAGGACCCTATCTCGTCGAGGGGATCGTCGGGGCGCATTCAGTCCGTCCACGTCTGCTGTCGGGAACGCGACCGGAAGACCGATTTTCCCCGCGAAAAACTGCTTCTTCCTATTCCCGATAAGAACTGAACGGAAACTTCTTTCTAATTGGAGAAGTAAGAGGCACGTTACACAAATTTCCGAAGACCTCAGTCAATCGTTTCGCGACTTCGAATGTATTTGTGAATATCGCGAATGAGGCAGAATCTTTACGAGACGATTTTGAGTGAGTGACTTTGGAGCAAGTTTTTACTTTTAAGAAGACAAAATTATCGGTAAGAATAAACAATGTAATTAACTGATAATTTAAATACGAAGTGTCGTAATATATACTTGCTATTCTATTTCATTTTTTCAATTTATACAAGAGTTTAAAATTATATCGAGAAATTTATTTTTGACGAGAATATATTCCTCACGTGTTTGCCGGTCATAATAAGGAAGTATACGTATATGTCAACTTCGTAAAGAGGAAAGATTCCTGGCACATTCAGGCTAATCTCGTATCTTTCAACTTAATAAGAGACGACCTTAATTGCTGGTGATTTGTGATAAATAATTTTTACAATTTAGAATATAGGATTATAATTTAAATTTTTCACAAACATCTTCGATAAAAATAAGAAAAATTAAAAAAATTTTTATATACGATTTGTTTGAGGTAAATTGGAGTAATGATTTTAATTAAAACGACTTTTAAAAAGTTTTAATTAATTCTTCTAATAAAAAGTTGAAACTCACATATGCGAAAATATGAGATTTATCGACGGAAATATAGAATTTTTGTAGTTTGTTAAAAAACAAGTCGTTTTACATAATATTACTATAACATTTGTGCTGATATAACTTAGTTCTTACACTTCTCCTGTGGTGCTAATTGTTGCGCTCTTCGTATTATCATAGGATCTGGTTTTAACTGCTCGCCTCTATTTACCTTGCATAAATTTTAAATGCTCGATCATAATACACAAGTGATGACGCTTTCCTGATAACGACATACTTCGCTAATAATATCTGCGAAAACAATCACCAAACACGGAGTCTATCTTCTCAATGACATATTCAAAAAATTGCTCAAAAGTTCATTCAATAAACTATACATTCATTGTCGATCTAATTGTCATTACAAGTTTTGCAGTCTTTATCGAGCATTTTCTGTTTTAATTTGACATAATATTAAGTTAGAAATTTTAAACTTTAATAAAATTTTTTTGGCAGAAACTTACTATTCGCAGAAAATGCAAAAATATTAAATTTAATATTTATAAAATTTATACTCAGACAAGAAAAGATTCTATCTTAGTATAGTCAGAACAATTATGTTAAATATTTAATACATTTCATGTGTAATTCTTTTAACAAAAAATATTTAAATAACGTAATGATATCAGGGTAAATTAACACTCAAATATGCTAAAAAATCAACCTAAAATTTCAACAAGGACTTGAATGGACTGATTTTAACACAAATACAAAATATTTTTTATTATACAGAAGTGCAAACCATTGTACATTACTAATTTCAATACATTATATAAAACTTAAAGAAAAAGACAAAAAGAATAATCAGCAATTTTCTACAAATTACTTTTTTTATCTGAACAGTTTTTCACTTCATTATTTAAATCCACATAATACGGTAAAAGATCAATCGAATAATTTTGTAAAATGAAAACAATTTAAAGGTGCTTGAAAAGTCATTTCAGACAGCTAGTCACGTGCCTGAGTCATCAACCTTATCTTCATTCACTAATCAATTCCTTCCACGATTTTCGTGCAACCTATTCCACAGATACACGACCAACTTCCTCCATGCAAATCGTCACTTTTATCCGAACAACGGCGTCGCATGCCACGACGACGTCTTTCCCATATAAAAGCACGGGGACGATATTCTACACGTGGTATGAGTCATTTGCTGTATTACGTGCGTGACTAGTACAACTAGATTCTTTTTAACGAAAGAGTCTATAGGTCGACATTCTCTATCTTCACGGAGACCTAACTATATTGTCCATACATGTATTATCTAACAGGTGATAGTCATCGCTTTCTTCATCATGATACATTTTTATTCGCTTTATATTAAAGCATTGAAGCTCGAATTAAACATACAAGTCCCCTTCTAATTTCTTATCATCACAGAGCAATAAAAACATGATATTTTTCAACCCACTCACGCAAAATATTTTTATACTTTTTACAAAATATTACTTCGTACCAAAAACGCAAACGCTATGTTGACCCAGTCGTCGGTTTTGTTCGATATATCGATCTTCCAACAACCAGAGAAAGAGGAGCGGCCTCGGTAAACACGTTAGGCTACGAATATCAAGGGTTGCAGAATGAGAAGTATAGGTCATCAACGAAGATAATCCTACATCTTTAAGCATATTTATCTTTATAATGTACAGTGGATCTGAATGAAAAAGTCAGGGTTTTTCCAACTCGATTTAGAAGCGCACATCTGAACAAAATAAGAGTCGCCTCGCTGCTCTCAGAATACCGGTGGGGCGCCTTCAATAATAGAAATATTGTACAATTGTAATATGATGATATCGATAATAAATCGTTACAAGCCGTGTACACGGCCCGTCACGCGTCGTTTATAAATGCACACCCGTGTGCTATTATTTGCTTCATAATACACACCCTATCGATTCGACTCAACGACCCCTTTCTCACATCGGAAAGCATGCCCCGAGACCACCCTGTGAAAACTATTTGTGATACTGATCGCCGGAAGGCTCTCGTAAAAACTATCCTCCTAAAAAAATGTCTATTTACTGTCATGGAAAGAACCGTGCCCACACTCTAGAAAAGTTCACCTAAAACCTATTGATAAAAATAAGTACATAAATGTTAATAAGACTCGTAATATGCAAAGCGTATACAATAAGGAGGCCAGCAACGAGCAAAATTCATGATGTAATTACATCTTGTAATTACTTTGTAAGAGAAGTAAAAAGTGTGGTACTTTCACCGTCTTTATTAGTAAATTTTAATGAATTACTTGACACCTAAAACATTTTGAATTTTGCTTATGTTGGTCTTATTTTCACATATTGCTGCTGATAACAATTTTTCATATATCAATATTACTATCAGAAATAAACGTTGTGAAATCACAGAAACAGTATCCTATCTCGCTAATGTAGTATCGCTTCGATTTCAGGATATTTATTCGGAAAATCATACTCGCTTCTAGAAGAGATCGCTGTAGAAACATCCCCTTTGAGAAAAGTTCAAGGAGCGGCTAGGAAAAAATATAACGTTTCGCGGAAAAAAAACAGTCGATATCGATCGGTGGATGATCAACGATCGAATGAGAACTCGTATGACCGCGGGATTCGCAGGCGCGAAAAGGGAAAAGGGAACGAGTGGCCGTGCGACGGAAGGCTAGTCGTCATATGGGGAGGAAAAGAGCGAAGAAACGTTAGAGTGTGGCGCGCGAGACGAGATCGCAATGAAAGTCAATAAACCATGATGAGTAACGGAGAGTATAGTGGTCGGAGTGGCATTAATAAATTAGTGTCTACTTGCTGCTACAAGCAACAGCAGCGGCAGCGGCAGTAACAGGAGTCCGGAGGAGGAAGAGGACAAAGAGGAGGTGGTGGAGGAGAAGGAGGAGGCGCGGACCTCGAGTGTGTGTGTGTGTGTGCGCGATATGTGCACCGGTGTACGTGCGTGCGAATACTTGTGATCGGCCGTGTCGATGCGGGGATTTGGCCAGTGTGTCAGTGTGAAAGAAGACAATTGACTCGCAGCCGCCGTCCGTCGGACGGTGCTCAGCTCAGCGGGGGGCCTTCTGACGTCACATCCTGCCCCGCGGCCTGTACGAGAGTCGCGATCTCATCTGGACCACGGTGAACGAAGGTACGCAGATTCGTGTGTTCGCACGGTGCAAAGCGTGCTAGAGTTTAAATAGCTCGGGTAAATGGGTACCGGCTTGAAGTTGGGATCACCGCTGAGATAATGATACTTCGGGGTCATCTTGATAAGAAATCACATTTTAAAGAAAACTTCGATATGTCTCCAGTTAGCAATATGTTATAATCCTTTTATATCTATGCAGCTGTTGGGAAGATAAAGATAAAGATAATTAACTGTGACTAATGTTAGCTTAGCGCAGTGATAAATCTCAAGATTGTGAATAATTTGAATAATTATATCTAGAAAATTATTACATTAAAGTCGAAGTCATATATTTGATCATCGTATCTATTTCTCAATAAATTTATGTAACAAAACAACTAACACTGAACATTATAACAAAAAAACTTCGAAATTTTGGGACTATTGTGCTAAACATTGATATTCATATTAGAATTACATTTTCTTCTTTCCTTATCAGGAGACACGGTAGTGTCTCCGGCCATGTTCAAAAACTGTAATACATTTCCCGAACAGTTTCAAAATCTTTCTACAGTTGTACCATTTTTTTAACAATCCAAAATTATGAATTAAAAAGACAATAAGATAATTAACTATATGACTAACATTAACTTAGTGCAATGATAAATCTCGAGATCAAATAATTTGAATGATTATATCTATAAATTGAATACGATTATTATAAATTAAAAATTACGATCGAAGTCATATTTATGACTGCCGCATTTATCTCTAAACAAATTTATATAATAAAATTTATATAATAAAAAACTAAACACTTCAATAAGCTAGCAATCGAAAACAATTTATCAAATGAACATCTTATGCAAATCGTACGTACACAGTGCGTTTGTCAATACGATCAATATGTATAATGATATTAGGATTAATAGATAAGATCACCATAGTGACATTGATTCTAACTACAAAGTACTATATAATATCTATATTTGTAGTTCGTGGAATAACTTATCTTAATATACGTTCTAGAAAAGATCTAGAAAAAAAAGGTAAAACGACTTAAAATCGAGAAATATTGAAATATTTATCGAATCTATCAACATGCTTTTATTGTTCTTCTATTAAATATTCAAACATTCTAATGCAAAGAAAAAAATTACTATCAATATCATCTCTGATATATTTCTTGTAATAAAATCTGTATTAACTGTATAGAAATTAGATCGCGTATTCTTTAGAGATAATGTTTCACGAATCGTGTAAATAGAAAATAGATTAATTCTTTCTAGTGAAAAATAATTTAATTCTTAATTTGTCTTGTATAATAAATGAAATTAAAATTCATTTTTTATTTAACGTCTGTTAATTAGATTATCATAAAAATTTGTGTTTTAATGTTATTTTTATAATTTTTTCAAATTTGTTGTAAGATATAAATATTTTCTTAGTATTCTATATATTGCATTCCGCGAAACGGGATATACGTTTATAAAAAGAGGATATGCTGCAATAAATTAATGTCGCGCATTAATCTTAGACATTGACACTTTGGAGTAAATATATAGTATTATATACTATATTTTGCACAAGTGTGACTGCAAAAGCTGTGCGTGGTTGAAAACATTCGTATCAAGTACGACGAATCGGCATCATCTTCGTGGTCATGAGCACGAGATTCCTTGTCGTGGCGTGAAATTTCAGATGACGTATGATAGGTCTTCTAAATTAACTAGGGCGTTACGCGAAGCATATACGGACACCGTGAAAGAGAGAGAGAGAGAGAGAATGAGAGAAAACTCGACATTGATCATTACGATGAGAGGATGTTACGATCAAGATACATATGACAATTAAAAAAACAATCTCATTCCTAATCTTGCAATTGTCGTGTGCAGCGTAACGATAAGGCTCTTTTCCTGTGGTCCTCGTTATTCGTCAAGGTCACTGCATGCGTCTCGCTTCGACGAACGTCGAAGTTCGAGTCGGAGATGCGCTATTTACTGACTCGATAAATTGCGACGACAAGGCAATTTCGTGACGGACGCAACGGTGCGCGAGCGAAGGCGTCGTAGAACGAAGAGCGTTCGCCGTTCACCAAGGTGCGCGCGTACGCGTTCCCGAGGAGTCCCATTAGAAGCAAATCCGACAGGAAGTGCAAGGACCGGTCAGCGATTATTCATGCCGGACGAGTGGAAAGACGACGCGACGCGTGTCGTCTTTCTTTCGCAGATCAAATCCAATTGACCCCGTGAAAGAGATAATTGCTAGAGCTTACGATACTCAAGGGTGTTCGAAGAAACGAGCAATGTCTGCGGTCAGATTACACATTATAACGTATTATAATCTCGTATGGTAATGTTTTATTTCCGTATATGTTAATATACCCTTTATTATTCAAAGTGACATTATCAAAGGTATATCGGTTCGATATATCGTGTTGCATACACCGAGGGTCCAATTCGTGACTTAACGGTGCACTTTGACTTGTATATATAGACACTGAGTGGGTTAGATTTAAACGAGAAGATACTTTTCGGGAGAAGAATAATGAAAGATCGTATCAAAAACGGTAGCGGCGGCTTAACCGGTCGTGTCGGATATACTGTTCGTTGCATCATTCATATCGGAATCCCTTCCTATCTAATACCTGCGTCGCGACGCGAGGGGAAGTCGTAAATTCAAAAGCGGCAACTGCAATCGTAAAATTGCATCTGCCAGGCTCGTGTTGAGATAGTCTTAACTGAGACGCACCGGAAGGACGAGCGGTTTTAAGCGCTTTATGGAAGGGAACGTGGGTGTCCACGTGGCCTGAATCGTAAAAGCGCTCTTAAGTGCGTGAGGTGAGCGAACAGCTCTCAAGCATGAAAATGCGTCAAACTCGATTCTAATTGGTCCGTACCGCTCCTGACTTAATCGATTGTATCGGATTTTAAGTAAAAAAAAACACTGCATAAACAAAACGAAGAGTTTTACGTACATAGAAAGACTTATTCTTAAATCAACCATAATATTCTTATACATAAGCAAAAATATTGTAATCTTTCTTCAAAGATTTTAGTCTTGATTTGATTAAATTTATGTTGAAGTATTATTTTGCACTCAATTGAAAACTTGCTCAATAAAAAATCCTACATCAATACAAATTTAATCAAATCAAGACTAAAATCTTTAAAACAAGATTACGTTGTTTATATATGAGCAAATTATAATTGATTTAACAATTGGGGTTTTTTCTTTACGTATCTTTACTTTAGTAAGATAGGACTAAGGCCAGAATCAGACTACGCATTGAAGATTGAGATTGAAAATTGAAAATTGATCAATAAGAATAAAGGAATTTTAGCTTCTATTTTGATTGATCAAATTTCAATCTTTCAATTTTCAATCTCAATTTTTAATACAATTTTTAATAGTAGTCTGATTCCGGCCTAAGGAGATGCACGGAAAGAATGGTATTATTAAAGTATCTCAAAATTTAACTAAATATAAATCTGAAAATAATTTCATTAGACCATCAAAATAATAGGAATCTTAAACATGCTGAACAATGTTACGAAAAGTTTTGACTATTTTCTAGCAAGTTTGAGCGTTTTACATAATTTTGATAGTCTAACAAAATTATTTGCAGATCTGTATCTACATTTTTAGATACTTCAATAAAATCTTTTTTGTACATCAAATACATTAAAAAATATCATTGTAGGTTCTTAAGTTCAATAAGTTGCAAATTTACTAATTTAGTTAGACCGATCCATTAAATTGTAGCAATTAGAGGTAACTCGTGATTTATTAACAGAATATAATTAGAGTATTACTAATAAATATGCGCGTGTCGCCTATAATTAAATATCTATATAACTATTTATTAATAGAGACATGTGAATCAAGGTTTTTCGACACTGAATCAAATCATAAACTGAATTTCATTTCTTTATTTGAATCCGAATCAAGCTGAATTGATAAAATTTTATTCTAATCGATTTGAATAAAATCAAATGTCATTTGATTTCGATTTGTATTCGAATAATTCGCATATCTTTATTTATTACAATGTTATAAGAATTACTATCTATCTATATATTATAAAACAATGCAATGATTAAATTTAACAATATTTTATTATATATGGTAATAGTGCGAAAATCTTAATAAGCTTTTTAGAATTGATTAAATTATTCTTTCAGCGAATGAGGAACGATGATTTATCGCGACAAGAGGATCCTCAGGATCCTTGTCTTACTCAACATAGTTGCGAAGATGTCGGCGAATCAAACAGATTCACCAAAAACAGATATGATCGAAGAGATGGAAGAATTTACTACAACCAAAAGGATTTTACCTGATAGATGTCTTCTTAAGACAGAACCGGGACCCTGTAAGCACTTCGTTCACAAATGGGCCTTCAACAAGGTCGAAGGAAAATGTCGGACTTTTCCTTACGGCGGTTGTCACGGAAATGAAAATCGGTTTAACTCGGAAGCGGAGTGCCTGTATTATTGCGTCGGTGGTGATCGTAAGATATTTTCCTAAAAATCAAAAGCGTATAATAAACTTTATATTATTAATCAAATAAATGTAAGAAAAAATATAAAATTTAAAAGAATTAGAATAATTACATACATTTGCATTGAAAAAACAAATAGTAACATAACAAAATCATAAGAACTTAACAATTTTTTAATTTTACTTGAGACGATAAGAATATATTCACGGATATGTAAATCATTTTATAAATTGTGTGACGTATTTGTTTGTTAATTATATAAAATAGATTAGATAAAACAGAAGTATATTTTTATATGAAAATCCTTGTGAACTATATTTAATAAAGATTGAAAAAATTGCTACAGATTTATTGACTATTTTTAGATACACTACCGCCTTATCTTGTAACAAAGGGCAGCGTATTTGTCGCAACAAGCACGACGACAATGAGCACTCCACCCTCGACAACCACTACACCACGACCGACCTTTACACCTCCGAAACCGACGAAACCACCTGTACCGAAGCACTTACGAGGAAAGGTAGAAATCGCGTCAATTCATATAAATACATAATGTTTTGCGCAATCCAAGAAAATGTTTTCTATCATGTTTCTATATATTTTTACTGAAGGAATTGACTTTCATGGAATCTGGCCACGAGAAAACATTTATGTTCGCACAAAGTAATACTTTCATCCAACTCGATGGCCCTGGCATTAAAACCTTCCAATTGAGGTGAGCATAATAATTTGAATTACATTTATAAATCTTGAAAATAATTTTTCCATTTGCGAAGCAAAATGTATTAATAAATATATCTTTTTTCATACATTTATGTAATGCCTTATATGTCATAATTATTTTATATTAGGTTTTAATATAAAAAAAATTTTTTTACGTATTATTTAATTATCACAGACTATGTCGCGAGATATCCTTCAAATTTCGCACCAAGCTTCCACACGGTTTACTAGTTTATCACAGTGTCAAAGATCGTCCAGAGAGTCTTGACCCTTATGCCCTTTACGTGATAGTAGAGAAGGGTCAGCTGAAAGTTGTTCATGTATTCGGCAAACAATCGACTAGTTTAACTGTCGGTCAAGGGCTTAACAGAGACGAGTGGCATAGCGTTCTCGTACGAATCGATGTGCATGGGGCAAAGTTAATCGCTAGAGTCGACGATAAGCAGGCGGAGACTACTCTAAAAGTTTTAGAACGCATCGTTAATTATGGAGTATCTGAAGAACTAGCCTCTGTCGTTCTTATCGGAGGTGAGGAATGTCTTTTTTCGAGAGATTCCTCCAAGCGGAATTTTTTCCGCATTCTTACCGCTTTATTTCCATTTTGATAGGACTGAGTTCCGAAGAACGATTACACGGAGTGAAGTATATAATAGAATCTTTTGTCGGCTGCATCAGGGATATGGTTTTGAGTTCCGGAAAATCTGCCAGCGATTTACTGCCCATTCGGCCATTAATCGCGACCAAGCACGAGAATGTTAAAGAAGGATGTATTGATAAGTACGTCTTAAAAAAAAAAAGATTATTTGGTCATATATAAGTATCGTTTTGTCTTCGTTATTTATTGGCTGATATTCATAGTTGATTCTTATTTTAAGCAATCTTTAAAAGTATCTTAAAAAAACTAATACGGTTCTGCGATTGGCTTATAACATCTTAAGATTTTACCTAAAACAGTCTTGAATACAAAAACCAGCTATAAATACCAGCTATTTGGGTTTCAAAAAAGATAAAAAAGATGTTTCTCGATTTATGTCATTAAATGGAACACAAATCTTTAATTCCAATTTAGGTGCAGGACAAGAGAAAACTTGTGTTTCGTTCCCGATCAATGTGTGAATCACTACAATAGTTTGACATGTGATTGCTTCGGCACGAATTACGAGGGTGAACGTTGCGATGTGTACAGTACGTAAAGTAATTGAGTTTAATACGAGTACCTTTTACTACAATATGCATTAATAATATTTACATTTCAAATAACTGATCATTTATGTCTCTAAGATTTAATTCGAGACTCTGTTAGCTATTATCAAAGGAATATTATTCTTTCATATGGAAATGATAACTATACTATGTATATAAATTGTACTAGTCAACCGAAGAAGAGATAGGGCTTTCACGCACATTTAAAATGGTTCGGATATTCCAATACGAGACTAATGGAGTTTGAAATGTAACATCATTTTTCAGCCGCGACTATACTGACGCTGAGAGGTTCCTCATACGTGTCCTTTCGCGTGTACGATTGGAAGGATCGTGTTCACTCGTCTGTCAACAGGATCAGCCTCGCTTTTAAGGTATTTGATCACGGGCGCTTATTGTAATGGGACCGTCCCTTTCCCTTGTCGGGAGCTCATTGATTCATTATAGCGAGACGTATACTTCTTTGTCGGAGTCGAGAGGGAGGGCGCATTTTGTATTTTCACGAGCAGCTGCCTTTATCTATCACTCTCTACTCACGAAAAATTTACCGTGGAAACTCTTCAAGAGAGTGTCGAGTTCCACTTCTCAAATTGTATCGTAGTAGGTCATTGTGCGGTCACAATGAAATTTGTCATATGCTGATTATACAATTATCGTTATAGAATTTTTCCACCATAAAAAAATGGATACATAGAGAAAATTTATGACAAATAATTTTCTCTATATATATATTTGAGATTAAATTATCAACATGGTATGAATTTAGACTGATGAGAATAAATCTAATTAAATTATTATAATAAATTATAATTTATAAATATTATGTCAAAATATCAGCTGAAAATTCACATTTGATTTTTAATAAAAATAAATTTCAGACGAAATGGGACAATTCCGCCTTGTTTTATGCTTCCGGTGAAATCGATGGCACACCGCATTACATTGCAGCTTCCATTATAAACGGATCAGTTCACGTTGAACTCGATTTCGGACATAATTCGAAAATCTCCACCACTTTGGGTGATTATGTCATATCTGATCATTGGAATGATTTGACCATATTCCATAACGGAACCACCGTCTTCGTTAGCTTAGACGACGAGGTAAAGGTTCTAGAAGTACCGGGAGAAAATTGCGATATCATCATCGATCCAGAAATATATATCGGTGGTGGTCCCGAACTCCACAAGAAGAAGGGTCTTTTGTCGCACAATAATTTTGCAGGTTTGATGAAACTACAACACTGGACATTAATTATTAATCGAATAATGTAGTCCATTAATTAATGCAATTTTCAATTTTTCTAGGTTCCTTGAAGTACGTGTTTTTCAACGATAAGTCAATTATATACGAATTGAAGCGTTCCAATCCTATGGTACACTACATCGGTGTATTGGAACCAGAATACTACCAAGCCGACGTCGAAGTCATTCCGATCACATATCCTTTCGCGGGAAGTCACATCTGGTGGCCAATCGAACAAACCAATTCGCTGAAATTGAACTTCGATTTTAAAAGTTCAACGCCAATCGCGATCATCGCTTCTGGAGATGTAAAGAGCAATCGCGGTGTTGGTTACTGGGAGGTATGATTATATATATAATATCGCTCTCTATTTTATCTTTTTTAACATTTTCAATATTTTTTATTTATTTATACTTTTCTCCATAGTTACGTCAAGTCAATGACGAAATTCGATTCCAATTGGTACCAGTTATTACGGAGAATATTACATTGTCAACTTCGGTGAAGTTTCCGCCTTACAACACTTCCTGGCATGCGGTTGACCTTAATTATACAAAGGGTGAACTTAATATCGTTCTCGATTATAGGAATAAACAGAGTAAACTCTTCGCTATGACGTTTGAGTTAGGTGATAAAGTCATTATAGGAAGTGGTAAAAGTAACGCAGGTAAATAGGTAATATTAAATTTGAAAGATAAAAAATTTACATGAACATAAAAAAAGATTCTTATATCATCAATTTAGGTCTAGTAGGATGTATGCGTGAGATACGAGTGAACGGTCAAAGAATTGAACCTAGATACGTAATTAATACCGAAAGAGTAGTCGGAGAAGTTGCTTTAGACAATTGTCAATTTGTGGATCCATGCAAAAGGCCGAATACTTGCGAACATGGTGGTAAATGTTCAGTTAAAGAAGATAGAATCACATGTGATTGCACAGACACTGGATATATAGGAAAGAACTGTCATTTTGGTAAGACAAATTGCGACAAATAATCAATTCAAGTTAATTAAAATAATATCAAATTAATGCATGAAACTAAAAATTAAAAAATGTAATTTCTGTAAACTTTTCTAAAAAAATTGTTATAATAAATTAATTTTCTTAACACTTACAAATAGTCAATTTTATTAATTATACAACTTTGAGTGGTTATTAACTTTATGCGATTTATAAAACTAATTCAGAATTTTAAATTAAAAGTGTTTAAAATGATATAATAATAAAAATTTGGTTTTTTTTAAGTAGATAATTTTTATATAATAAAATATAATAACGTTTATTTAAATTTTTAATGTCATTTGAAATTAATGAAATTTTTAATGTCATTGTTTAGCACAATACAGAAAAACATGTGAAGAATTGGCTCTTTTGGGATACACGCAAGACGACGTTTACAAAATCGATATCGATGGAAACGGTCGATTCCCACCCGCTTTAGTAAAGTGCGAATTTCAATCGATCGAAGATTCGACTAAAACAATCGTCGAGCACAATTTACCCTCCCAAGTAGACGTCAGATCTATCATCGAAAACGATTTCTCCTTCAGCATCAAATATAGACAGTTTACTGCTGAAATGCTTCAAGAGCTGATCTCGCACTCACTTTATTGCAGCCAATATGTAAAGTATGATTGTTACAAAGCACCCTTGGAACTACACAGCGCCACGTGGTTTCTAGGCTCCAAAGGTACTACCGTTGATTACATCGGAAACGTCAATCGTGGATCCTGTCCTTGTGGAAGTAAGTTCTTTCTTAAATAAATTCCCAATGTAATAAATTTAAAATTGTATTATTAAGCCTTGCATTTGGAAAGGCTTGTGAAGATTGTTATTTATTAATTTTACTTTAGTGAACAGAACATGCGTGAACTCCAACTTGAGCTGTAATTGTGACGTGTCTGCTGGAAATGCTGGAAAGTGGCTGTCAGATGAGGGATACTACGAAACACCTGATTCCTTAGGCATCACCGGAATGGTATTCTTGCAACAGAGAGATCTTGAGGAAGATGCTCGGGGACGTATCACCTTAGGGCCATTGGAATGCGTTGAAACAAGTAAGCAAATACATACTGATTTACAAATAGAAACTATATGTCTGTCTTCTATTTAACCAATATAATTTTACTTTTTAAAAGTAAATTCAGTATGTTAAGTTAGCACCCCAACTATAGTACTCAGGAGTTCTGATTAAAGTTCCCACTTCTTTTTGACGAGACGAAGAGTTCCCTATAGTTAATAACAAGAGTTCCACTCAATAAACATTTTTTTTACATTTTTTTAAAATGGGGTGCTAACTTTTTATTGAATTTCGAGATGGAATAGTTCTGAGCGGCTTAATAGCTTCAATTTGTGATTGCCTAGAGTTCCTGATATGTAAAAAAAATTTTCGAATATTAAAAAAAAAATTTTTAATTTTTGAAAAATTAATTTTTAGATACAATAGTTCTGATGATAATTTCTGCTTTTTTTTGACAATATGAAGAGTTCTCTATGATTTTTAATGACATATGCGCTTAATAATCATTTTTTAATAATTTTTTAAAAATGGGGTGCTAACTTTTTAACGAAATTCAAGGTCGCATAGTTCTGATCAGCTTAACAGAAGTATTTTGTGAATACCTAGAGTTCTTGATACATAAAAAACATTTTTGAAGAATAATAAAGTTTAAAAAAAATAGTAGAAACCTTTGAAAATTTTTTTGAGAGTACCGAGTAGTTCTGTTCGGAGTTCTGGACAGTTCTCGGCGAGTTCTATGTCGAAAAGTATCAGGGCTCAAAGCGATTGGACCAACGGTTTCCGAGATATATTCTAAAAATTGTTGATCTTCTGACAAATGTCGCTGTATCTTGCAAACCGTTGGTCCAATCGCTATTTCACCTTACAGTTTTCGATAGAACTCGTCGAATACTATAAGAAACGCTACTCAGAATTACTCGGTACTCTCAAAAAAATTTTCAAAGATTTCCACTATTTTTTTTAAACTTTATTATATTTCAAAAATGTTTTTTATGTATCAAGAACTCTAGGTATTCTCAAAATAGTTCTGTTAAGCTGATCAGAACTATACGACCTAGAATTTCGTTAAAACGTTAGCACCCTATTTTTAAAAAATTATGAAAAAAATGATTATTAAGCGCATATGTCATTAAAAATCATAGAGAACTCTTCGTATCGTCAAAAAGAAGCAGGAATTATCATCAGAACTATTGTATCTAAAAATTAATTTTTCAAAAATTTTTAATTTTTTTTTTATTTCGAAAATTTTTTTTACATATCAGGAACTCTAGGCAATCGCAAATTGAAGCTATTAAGCCGCTCAGAACTATTCCATCTCGAAATTCGATAAAAAGTTAGCACCCCATTTTTAAAAAATGTAAAAAAAATGTTTATTGAGCGGAACTCTTGTTATTAACTATAGGGAACTCTTCGTCTCGTCAAAAGGAAGTGGGAACTCTAATCAGAACTCCTGAGTACTATAGTTGGGGTGCTAACTTAACATACCTAAGTAAATTAAACAATAAAAATTAAATTTTTAGAACAATTATTTGTGATAAATATACTATCACATGAAGGAGTAATATCTGCAAACATTTTTAAACACAATATCCTTATGAGATTAATGATAATCAATGAATAATAATTTTTAGACACACAGAAATACGTGGTAACGTTCACGACATCACAATCGTATATTGAAGTACCTGGTTGGAGAAAGGGTGATATAGCCTTCAGCTTCCGAACGACGGGGGAGAAAGCTATTCTTCTATATCAACCACCGATCCGGAATAATTATCCTTCCTTCATGGTTGCCCTAACGTCAGAATATCGGTTGACTTTTAATTTTACCCTAAATACCGGTACCAACCGTGAGTTACAAGTGGAAAGCCGACGAAAATTAAATAATGGCGAATGGCAGAAGATTTGGATCGATTACAACGATTATCATGTGAGGTTTATGATCAATACTGACTTTCGAATGGTGGATTTGTTTCCCGAGGAGGAGTTTGGACCCTTTGAGGGATCCATGTTTATTGGTGGTGCTACTGCGTAAGTATATATAATTTTACAAATTAATAATTAATTATCACTCACACAATGAATTTCCTTCTTATAACAAATAATAATTTTTATTCTTCATTTTATTAATTCTTTAATTAATTTTTAGAGAGCACTTGAAGACTTCTTCCGTTCGACAAGGTCTCATCGGCTGTTTTCGCGGTCTCGTTGTTAATGGAGAAATATTAGACATCCATAGTTATATGTCGGTACATCTATCGGAAATCATCAAAGACTGCAAACCTTCGTGTCAACCTAATAAGTGTCAGAACGGTGCTAGATGTGTTGAGTTGTGGAGTAACTTTGAATGTGTGTGCGAAAATCGATGGGCACACTTAGGTACTTATTGCGAGACAAGTAAGTTTACTTGATTACTTTAGAAGAAATAGTTTCCAAATATTAAAAAAAATATTTTTAATTAATATTTAAAAATATATATGAATTTATATATGTAGATGAAGCTTTTCATAGTTTTTAATTTTTTTAATATTAATTAAAAGGAAGGAAATATATATATGTAAAAAATACATTATTCTATTTTAAATTGACTAGAGAGTATTAAAATAATATCCCTGAATACAGATATCAATAACAAAGCTTTGACATTCACCTCACCTGGAGCGTTTTTAAAGAAGAACTACTTTGGATCGGACGACAACGAGGAGAGATTGCAGCTAAAAAGCATGCTACTTGAAAATATTTTAATTAATTTAAGAACTTATGATACTCATTCTCTGATACTGTATGCGAACGATCATTTGAACAATTTTGCACATCTTTATATCTCAAACGGTACAATCGTCTATCTTTTCAACGCTGGCAACGAGATTAAAAATATCACTGTAGAAAATCCAAGTACGTTAAAGCCCTTTAAAATGAATGTATGCGACATGGATATTAGAAATTGTAGAGAAATAATCCGTTTTTTCAGATGTCAACACGGGAATTTCCGTACAGATCGCCATAATTCGAGGTGAAAATTGGACTACATTGTACGTAAATGAATATAACGTCACATTGAATGCGACACCGATACTCCTAGACACGTATTCGAATAAACCTTGGACAAACCCAGAGAAAGAAGTTCTTGCTCCGCAACGGCCGCCGGCACCTCCCACCGATTATTTCCAAGTAAGTCTTTGAATAATACTGATATTTCGCTTCGAATAATAAAAAATCTAAAAAATATTTAAATAATATCTAAAGGCAACCTAAATTGTATCCTTTTAAGATACTATAAAGTATAATAATACAAAAAATGGATGGCTTTTCTTGGATTCTTTTTTTTATGCATAAAATATGTACAATAATTAGTAATATACACAAATATATATCAATATCTAAACGATTAATAAATATTCATTTAGGTAAATTTAGGAGGATTCGATCCTGATAATCTACTCAGAGTCGGAAAAGAAGGCGCTTTAATTCAAGGCTACGTTGGCTGCTTACGAGGACTCATGATCGGCAAGTATCTTGTCGATTTACCAAGCTTGGCCAGCGAAGCGAATCATGAAGGAAGTAAAGGTGTTCTGCCGAATTGTCAAATGAAATGCGACACGATGCCCTGCAAAAATTTAGGAATTTGCACAGAGGATTTCGGCAGACAGGAGTCTTCCTGTAATTGCGAGCTGACATCCTACTTTGGTGAACATTGTGCCGATGGTAAATTTATTGATTACTATTTATTGTGTTTAAAAAAACGTATTTTTCAAGCTTGAATGAAATATGAAAATGTAAATCAAGACATCAAAGACTTAAAGAGCCAAATCTAAAGATTGTAAAATATCTTAGATTCGCAGACATAATCTTTAGATATACATATATTTTATAATTAGAAAATTATTTTTTCCGAAGAAATAAAAATCTATTAATACCTGAAATAACTTGAATATTTTCATAAAGTAAATTACTTTATTCTAAAAAAACTATCAAAAACTAAGTAGTACAAAAGTTCTAATATCTCTGCGCGAAATTTGTTTTTTTTTTATACAGAAAAGGGTGCCGATTTTAGTGGGGAAAGTGTACTTCAACGCGAATTTGAACTGGAAGGCGAAGTGAATCAGGTGAAAGTACAGTTGGCATTCTCAACAAATGAACTACGACAGCGAACCACCGCGTTGCTGCTAGTACAGACTGACAACAAGTAAAGCATCGATCTTAATATTTTCTTAATCCCCGTATAATATTCAACTATTCCGACATCAGTCACTGACGCCTGAAGTCCTGGATGTCTTTCGAAGAACTTTTTTCCAGAAGGAGCTACTACTTATTGGTGGCCTTGACGTCCGAGGGACTGCTCATTTTCGAAGAGGACAGAGACGGCTCAGCGGCTGGAGTGCGCCTGAGCGATCGGAATTTCTTGAATGGTGCACGTCACAGTGTCTACTATGTTCGCGATAACAACACGGCCATCCTCTTAGTTAGTTATTATTTCTTTTGTTTCGCTTTAGAACTTTTACACACATTACTGATTTGCTACAATATATAACTAAAAAAAAATATTTTTAGTTCTTTGCAAAACAGGAATTATAAAGAAAAAAAAGTATATTAAAAATATATACTTTTATTCTTCTTCAATAAATTATTGCATCAAAATTGCAAAATTAATTCAAAATTATTTCAAAATTAATACCAAATTTTAATAATTCAAAACATTCAAATTTATTTTTTGGAAACCTTCGTTTTTTGAACATAGCAAATGTATATATATAATATTATAAAATACTATATTTTATAATCTATGTGTAATTTTAGATCGATCGTGAGCCCGTCCAATTGCTACCTATTCCAGGAATACCGATACCAGACGAGGACGAAACTCCGGGTGCCACGGAGATACAACTTGGTGGATTGAACACCACCGATTCGCGATTTATCGCCTATAAGGGATACACCGGTTGCCTTAGCAGTGCGTTTTCTTTGAAATTTTTCAACAATGTCTGTTACTAAATTTGATGCGCTGCGTCTATTTATCCGAATATTTCCGTTATGTTTCTTTTATGCTAGACAAATGAGCATAACCATATGGCAAATTGCAAATTATGTATTTTTTTTAGATGTTGTTATATCAATAAATGGAGGTCCCGATATGAAACCACTAGAGGAATATATGCTCTTTACAAAACAAGGCAGCGAAACTGTGCGAGCAACGATACCCGCCGGTGTTAGAAGTGCTCAATGTGCCGTCTTCCATGTTCAACCGGGTGGTCTAGAACCACCCAAAAACGATAGTGTGGTAAGAAACTCGGAAATTAAATGTTATTAAAAAATAGTTTCACACATCACGCATCATTTTGCATCTTGCTTATATAAAAAAAATATAGCAAATTTTCATACGTTTTGAATTTGAAATAATTTGCATTCTTTAAACGATGATAAATTATTAACTAATCTTTGTTTTTCAATTAATACTTCTGAGAAATATAGTAATCAATTAATATAATTATACTCTCATAATTAATATAATTATATTCTTCCATTCAAATTGAAACTATAAACCCATGTAAAATATGTTTTTTAATGATTATACCAGTAATATAACAATGTTTTAAACAAATATTCATTCAGTAAAAAAATAAAATATACATCAAATTGCAAAATCTTAAAGGGCCGTGACAAAGCATGGGTCGAGGATCCACCGGAAAGAATCCTATACAAATCGCAGTATTCAGGCGCTACTCAAGAGGAACAGGGTGCAGGGACGTACATCTTTATAGCCCTATGCTGCGTCTTCGTGGCCGCAGTGGTTGGATGTATTTATGAAGTATGGCGAAGTGCACGCAAGGACCGTCAACGACGACGCGCCGCAGCTTCAGGAGCGGCTACCGGTTCCGGTTCACAGAGATGGCAATCACAACAGTACACGGACTCCTTGGTCACCGCGACTGGCGTAAAAGCAATCGGCTTCAAGAACGTGATGGATGACGACAAGAGGCCGAATGGAACTCACGTGAAAGTGTCCAATGCCAAAGAATATAAACCACTGCCGAATACAGAACCCAAGGACTTAATGAACGATAAAAAAGTTCACATAAAAGGTATTCTAATCTATTTCGATTTGATAAATAGAAAATATGCAGGAAAAACTTGATATTAAAATAGAACTCTTTTCTCTTTCCAACTTCTTATCAAATAAAATCAAGAAGTAAATATTCAAAGTTATTTCTACCTTATCTATAAAATATTTAATACGTTATTTGTATCAATATTACATGCAGTAAGAAAAAGAATAGTTATTTTTTATTTAAATATTTTTGAAAATAAAAGGTATAAAGATGTATAAAAATATAGAAAAAGTTTTCTATAAAACTTTGCTTATCCATCAAAATTTAATCAATATTCGTATTTTTATATGCATTGCAGCAGAAGAAGAACCAGAAAAAAAGGAGCTCCTAGGGGTAAATACAGGCACCGTCATTAAACCTGTGAAACCGAATCCATTCGTAAAGATTTTTTCTTTTTTTAAAAGATGCATATTCAGCTTGGTCAAGCTTGCAAAAGGGCTTTGCATGCAGTGGTTGTCAATTTATTGTATTTGCATCCTCGTTATATGACATATTTCTATTGGCAAACACATTAATGCCTAAAGTAAAAATAAAATGACTAAATCGCTTCTTCAAAGCATATCGTCTTTTTTGCATCTGACTTCGCATTATATTCACAATTCTTTAAATCTATCGATATGTTGCATTATAAAGAAATATATAATACAAGCATTATATAAATCAAAATATAACTTTCATTATCATTTTCAACATAATTTCTCAAATATGATTTATTCACACACACAAATCCATGCTTTCTCAGCAATGCCGAATAAACATAGCATAATATTTTCTATATTGTCATAATTTAAGAAATCATTATAATTTTATTTTTCTCCAATAGTCAATGGAAGATCTAAGAGAAGAACCTGAACTGGAAGAACGCGAGGAAGAAGAGGAGGAAGAAGAAGAGGAAGAGGATAGCCAGCAGCCAGAGGTAGACGAGAACAAAGATCAACCGCAGGGACATCAGCAAGAGGAACAAAAGGATACGAGTAATGATCAAGATGGCGAGCTTCTCGTTATGCCGGTAAGAAATAAGACGGCAAGGAGAGCTTCCTTGACTGACGAATTGGACTCAGACGAAACGCAGGTCCTCCTCGAGACGAACTTTTCGGTGACAGGTTTGAATGAGATCAAAACCGAGCGTATAATATCGAGAGCAAATAACACCACGAAGAGTAGTGTGTCGAAGAGACCAATGAGTCTCGATCTCAACGCACCGATCAAGTTCAGAAAATTGCGTGGAGCTCGGCCCGAAAAAGTCACGGTAAAGTTAATTAATGGTGACGAAGCGAGTCTCCAGTCTCGAGGCAGAGACTATGTCGATGTCGCGTCCGCGTATCGTGCACAGAACAATTGATGATTAAGTTGACTGACGACAATAATTAATACGTTCAAAAATAATTGCGCCGTTTCGACTATTGTAAATATCGCGTAAAGCGATAATTCTTAATCGACAATCACGTATACATGTATATTTTTTTTGAGACAATACAGTTTAGCTACAGTATGAATGTGGTTAAAATACAACATGGCTAATAGTCTAAGGTGTTTAACTCGAAATTTCTAATATTTATTTAAACGAGAAATTTGTAAGTTAGGCACTTGTAACACTTAGCCATTCATATAACTAGCTCCAGCACGCATAATTATCCGCTCAAAATCACATTTTACGCGTGAAATCGATAAAAGCTTATTATTGAAAAATAAAATGATATAATGCGTTCTTCTAATAATGAAAAGTGACAGTTGGTCAATGCAGATTCGGCAAAATGCTTGAATTGCTTTGAAATCGTTGCGTATTATTTACATTGCAGTGTGAATACTAATTTCTTTTCGCAGACGTTTTACTTACTAAATTTTGTGAGTTAGTTACATACAAATCAGTATATACATTTGATTCAAAGTCTAGACATTAACTACATTCGGAGAGAGAAAGACATTCGAGTAATGTAAAGTTAGCTTGTAATCAAGCACCTATTTGTGTTTCTTACGTAGCACGTCGTCAGTATTTTCCCAGTATTGATTAGCTGTAGGAGAAACCATACGTACTTAGCTCGAGCAAAATACTATTTTAAGACTCTAGTGCCTATAAAATAACTTGACGATAACAAGATAAAAGTATCATTGACTAAATTTACAACGAATATATCGAAATAAGACGATAAAGAAATTCATATATTTGAGATAAAGAAAAGAATTACGTAGTTTTATTTTTAAAAGAATTAAACTAAAATATTATTTCATCAATTAAAGACATTCGTGTATTTTTACGATACTATTGTATCTGATACCATAATTAATTACAAAAAGTCACCATAGCATAGATTTATGTTATTGTCATTGACGATCGCGGTGTACATAAAAAAAACCTATTCAGATTAATCAAATTATTCTGAATAAATATTCTGAATGCGAATTTAAATCTTCGAAAATTTATTTTTAATACGTATAATTTACAGTTTGTTTTATGGTATGTACACCAGCGCGTCTGTTCAGTTTGATTTCACTGCTTCGTGCAATCGTACAAAGTGTAGCGTTGATGTGCTTTTGGTGGCGATCACAAAATAATCATGCGATAAATTCACAAAGCATACCGATATCATCCACAATCCGATCTAATACCTCAGACTTTAAATATATCAGACATACTTTCAGCACAGGGATTGGTCTAATGTTGAGGAGAGCGTTATACCATTAGACTCCATTTTAAAACCTGATGAAACGGAAACATCGTGCGAATTATAGAGGTACATTGTCGATAATAATCTGTACGAATGTTAACTCGATAATCGCATCGTGGTTTGCATCTTTCGCAGCCTTCATTCCTCTCTGAATTGCAAGATCTACTTTATTTTATTTATAATATATTACATTTATAAAAATCTACTTCCTCGAATGCATTGATAATTAACAAGAAATTCCTTGTTTATTATGAATTGAACACGAACTGTAATCACATAAAATAATTACAATGTTCCAATTATTTTATGGCTACAGGTAAAATATAAGTCATTATATATATTTAGAAATAGAATTAATATAAAAAGTTTTATTATCTCGAAACTTAATCAGTGGGCTGTTTGCATTTTACGAATTTCTGGCGATTTCTGCATTTTTATTTATGCCGTTTTCTTTTAAATACTTAGAACTATATTAACAGTTTATAAGATAATAACTTGTACGAATGAAAGAAATATTTGTGTGTTCGAATGTACCTCTTCCCTTCGATACAAGTGTTACGATCCCATTCGGAATGATAAGAAAATTTATATTCTTCTGAAGAAATTAGCAGGTTTTAACATCAATTCGTGAGTCTTGAAATACATTTTATAGCATGTTATATACAGACGAAAAATGACAGAGGAAATATACGATTTTTTTCCATTAACTCGAGTTTGTTGCATCGCTGTAACCATCTCTCATGCCACTCCTACACCGCCAAGCTTCTTCGTGCAAGTTCGTCGCCTTTCCTCACAATGAAGTTTCTTAACCCGGGAATGAACAAACGATTCGACAGGTTGTATTTTACACGTTACTTATGATTCATCTCTGTAAACAGTGCATTTTATATGATAAATTACATTTTTTTCTCGCTATTATATAAGCATGTGCATGATGATCCGATATGATAATAATCTAAATTTTTTATCATTTGAAAGGAATTTATTAAAAATCCGAATGACCTCTTCAATCTTCTAGAGAATCTAAAGAATAAAATTCAGAGAATCTCTTCTCTACATAATTTGATATAAGTTTAGCTTTGGATGTCACGAAGACAAGAAACGTAATCGTCGCATTTTGTTTTGCAACGAATAAAATTATTTTGGGCGTTTGAATCAAGATCTGAGCACAACGATGCCAATGCTTGATGTAAATTACAACCGGCGCCATTCCCAAGTTAAACTAATCATCGATATAAGAACACTCCACGAAGACATCGATGAAGCCTTTTATCGCAATCTGCACGAGTTCATAGACAGCGATTAACCCGAATTGCCTGACGAAACGGGTTTATTCGTGGCACGTGAAAAACATTCACTTCATCGCATGCACGCTTTGAGCTACAGAAATCTCTGAAGCTCTATGAGACAAGCCTATTCAAAGTGTCTGAACATCTTTGCTACGTACATGCACTAACCAGAAAAATTGAAGAAAATTAGAATGAATCCATTGTTTTGCCATTGTACGACGAGATATTGAGTATTTTAAAACCAACTTTCGCTTCATTTAGGCGCCTGCAGACGAAGACATTGGAAGACAATCGAAGATGCAAGGGAACTACTTAGGTTAGTAACACAAAGAAAACTTCCTTCTTTGACTTAAGAAATTCTAACAACGCATGTGCATAATAAAGTTCAAAATAGATTAGTAATTTTTACATATGATAATTTAAGAAGTATTTAAATACCAATTAAGTCTTTAACATTAAGTAATATAAAATAACTTTTTTCATAAAGTGTAATTATAAGATTTAATTACAATTATCTTTATTTTTATTATGTTTTATTTATTATATGTCACTACTTCAATCACTGTGAGAATAATTTGATTTTGCTTTTCTTAAATAATCTTTTTTAATTAAAATAAAATTATTTTATTTTGAATACCAAGAGTCCTGTATTTATATATTTAATTAAATTAAAATACTTTTAAATTAAAATAGAAAAAGATCACATTTACATCACAATAAATTCACAATATATAAATTGTGATATCACTGTGAGATTATTAAAAGATTACAATGATATATCTTAATCTGTATTTGTCATAGCAGTATTATAGTGATGTTTAACTTTCATCAATTGCATAATATATCGTAACCATATTTGTGACAAAACGGACATTTCGTACTTTCTCATGATTCGACTTTGTTGCGATATTATTATGACTTATGTTTTTTATTATTATAGTTTATATTATATTTATAGTAATTTCGAAAAAGATTTGCTTAATTGAGTAGAGTTAATTACGAAAATTATTTTATTTTAGCGCCAGGCAAGCCGATAACTTTCAATACGTCTCCTATCTTCTTGCCGGACGGCCAACGAACTTTCGGTAATCCATTGAGCTATCTTGGTGGTCCGATGTTACCACCCAGGAATAGATCCTCTATCGAATCGATGTTATCATTAGATTGATCGTAAATTATCTATAATACTTTCCTTTAAAGGACTATTGTGAATATTCATAGAAACAACGAATTGTATGTCCCAATCAAATCGGAAAGTTTCGAACGTGTTGAGTGCCAAGTTCATAAATATCATTATTCTTTTTATAAAAATGTTAAAAGTGTTAAATTATACAAACAGCACAAAAAATTAAAATACGTCAGAAAAATATTTGTATACTTATGTTAGAAAATATTTTAGACATCTTTTTTAGACTTTTATTTCTTTTGAATAACTAATCGTTCGCTTTAATGCTACAAAAATAGATATTAATGATTGAATAATTAACTTAACTTTTGATTAATTAATTTAATTAATGTTAAAGAACATACTTTATGCACTTAACACATTTGATATTTTCAGTTCATCTTTCATTATCACAATTATCCGTTTCTTAAAAGGCTCGTGTTAATAGCTCGCACCGAGCTATAAGCTATATAGTTTCATCAGAAAAGATTCGCTCGGATCAATATCGCAATCGGCGAATTTTACTCGTGACAAGACGTTATAGTTGCTAATAAGAATTTGAAAACGTGATAACGAGCTTAATAATAGTAACTAGTGATCGTGACGAACTCGATACGGTCTCTTTGCAGCTAATAGAAAGCTGTTGTGCTCAAAGATGTATATCGTTCCATACAATCTCATGAGGGTGCTTGTAAAAAATATCTTGTAAATCTCTAGGATAATAATTTCGTATATGTATTGTTGTAAAGCAGGCTGATAAAAACAGTTTTCTCCGTTCTTAAAGAATCTCAGCAGTATAAAAAAGTCCACTATTCCTTTATCCTCCAAAATTTTATTCTGTTAAAGATTAATACGACGAATAATTTTTAAATTGCAGACGATTTCAATCAAATTCTTCGATTAAATATTAACTTAATTGGTGATTAATTCAACTGATAGAATCGCTTAAAGTAAAGTTTCTAATTATATAATCCATTGTTCCTGAACCAATTTTTTCCATATATTAACGGTAAAAAAATTAATTATTTTATCCGTATACTAAACCAACAAATTGATAAATCTATCACTTTCATTATAAATCAATCAGAGTTTATCAAAATTATCTTGAAAGCGATTTCGTTTTCTCTGACAAAATATAAACGTTAAAAAATGTTTACTTTATAGGATAATATTATTTTTCTATATCTTAAATTTAAGTCAAAATTATTCTATCCGTTAACAAAATAGTACGCGAATATTGTTTGATAAGAACCGATCACTTGATTTTTA